TTTCCATCTACCATGGTGAATGGGTATTCTCTCAAGGAGGGTCTAGAACACCTATTGGAACTTAAGCTCACCCCAGTCCTCAACTGGAACTCGTATAAATGATTCATCACTAAAGATGCTGTAAAAAAATGATTGCTTCCCTGTAGTACTCCATAAGTACATAACTCATCCTGCTATGCTCTACATTTACAAGAGTCAGATTAGGCCATATAAAAGTATATTTCTGATGTATATTGAGATTAGCTGTGTGATTTAGATTTCTTGACACTTTTTAATAAATATTAAATATCTTTCTACAATTATTTCAAGTGTATAAGTGGTTGTGAGACAGGCAGCACTCCTCTTTGGTTCTTACTTGGGCTAGACAGGCAGTCGGTAAAGCCTGATCCAATCAATCAGTTGGACATGCCAAGCCCTAACCTATATAATTAAGTCCAACAATCTTTCACAAACTGATCACATGATGATCTAACACCTAACCCTAGTGCTAGAAGGTGGTGGTTGAGGGTCAATTGAGTTGAGGAGGAAAAGAATCTGACCACTGTTTCATATTTAAGGCATCAGTTGTTTTTGGTACTGAAGCACAAAATTAGCAGAAAAAAAAAACAACTAATGCTAGCTCAACTACACATAGGCCACACATGCCTCACCCATTCATACTTACTGAAAAATAAAAATCAACATGTACAACATGCTAAGCTGCACTCATGATGAAACACATTTTAAGTGAATGTAGTAATAAATACAAGGAAACCAACATGAGAAAAACTATTTGAAAATACTGAAACTGTTAACATAATGATCTACCTTAAAGAAATAGGTTTATACCAAAATATATATCACCTACAATCAACCATTTACAAACTACATATCTATAAAACATACATTTACCCTGAAAGTATAAAATTATGTACAAAATATCTATAGATAAGAGTAAAAGATTTCTCTATTTTTGTTTTATTTTCTCCATATTCAATCTTTCTAACTATTAATTAGTTTCAGTTAAGTGTTTTAATTACTTGTTTCATGCAGAATAGATGAGTGAGTGTACTTCTATAATCTACCATTTAAAAACATAATTTTAAATTTAGTTTAATTTTATACAGATTTTCAAATGACTGTATATCTGAGTAAATACTCAGAGTGACCATGGAATTCATTTTATTTCATCTAAGTAGGCTGCAGTGAACAACTCAAGATGAATTTTGTTTCTATAGCTCCCATAAATGATTTATAGTTAATTTCTGCTGTTTTCAGTCAAATTACTTTCTATATTTAAAAACATAAACCAAACAACACAATAAAAATAACAGAGTTTTTGCTTAACATTGTCTTGCCTTTTCAACTGAAATCCCATAACTGACCAGTGTTTTAGCATCATTATCTGATCATTGATTTAAAAATTATCCACATTGCTGAGTTTGTAATTTATCTTGGATAAAATGTAAAGAGGGCTTGTGAATGCATGCTGGAAAAATATGAAGCCCTGTTCCAAGAAGTGAATGTAGAAAATATTGTTAGTAAATCTATTTCCTTTCAAAGTGGGAGGTCAAGGATTTATTGTCAACTCAACTGATTAAACACAAGTAACAGAATGGTATAAATATTCATTCATTTCTGGATGTATCTCTTCTAAGAAAATTTTAATTTCAGGGAAAAATGATAAAAACAAACAAAGCTTAAAAAAAACAAGATACAGATAGATTATGACACTGACCAATTGAAAATCTGCAGAGTAAAGGAGGAGCAGGGCTATTGAACAGCTTTCAATACTATCAAGGTGAGACTCTTTCTCTGTACCTTTTCATGGGAAACAGATCTCCAACACACATTGAAGAAAGGTGTGAGGTGGTGTATCAAGTAATCCTAACAGATGGATTCCATCTAGAAAAGGAGGAGGAGGCAATATTCGAAATAGTATTAGTAGACAGTACTGATATAATTTCTGTAATGTTACCCAATATGGAGTTAGAAGAGTCAAAGTATGGCAGTGAAGAATCCAAGATTCATCAATCATATTCTGAGATAAAGGATGAATGTCATCTATATCAGAAAATGAAGGATGATATAAGAGCAGTGACAAGTCACAGACAAATATATGTCACACAGAAAGGACAGCTCTATTCTATCTCTAACAGTTCACTTGATGTTATCTATGCCAAAAGGGTTATAGAATAAGGTATCAAGACAATGTCATGAAGAGATAGGTCATTGTATAAGATAGATAAAATGCATAAATTTGCAAGTAGAAAGTATTACTAGCCAGGTCCATATAGAAAAGTCACTACCTACGAAAACACTTGATAACTTGACACACAAGAAGTAGCAAACTGTAACCATCCCCACTGATGGGAAACCCCCTCCCTCAAGGATAATGTATATATAGTCAGTATTTTTAACTGGCTAGCAAATTGGCTGAAAGTCAGTATCAGATAAAAAGGCTCAGACACTGCCCAGTCTCCCACAGATATAGAATTCCCTCACAGCTGGTCACAAACAGTGATGAAGAGAATGTAAAGTAGTTAAAAATTTAAATATGGTTTATGCCACCACTTCACCATACCATCTCCAGAGTAATGCAATAGTGGAGCATCATCAATGAAATTTTCAATCAACAAAATAACTGAATTCTTGCTAAAATAAGTAGTCAATGTTGTTCAGCCATGTTATAAAGCTGAGCAAACATGACCAAAAGTGGTGTTGGCTCTATCACCATTTTTTCCCTTCATTATTTGGAAGGTCATAATTCCTGTGTATTTATATACAGCATTGCATGCATATTAAAATCAAAGCTTAAGTCAAGCTGATTGGTGCAGATTTTCAAATTACAACACCAGTATATGGTTAGAGATGAAGTGGAAGCAATCAAGCAACTTTGGGGGTGGACTGTTACTGTATTTTACATTTTATCTTATTTCTGTAAAACTTAATGGTTTTTTATCTCATATCATTTCTTACTATAAATGTTATATTTAGTTTGTGTGAGCATGTTTGTGTAAACAAATCCCTGTTTTTTGTAAACAGTGAAATTAATATCTAGAGATCAAAAATCTTACTAAAGAAAATGTACCTCCTGATATGAATTGAATCTGTATTTTAACTTTCATTGCTGCATTGTTATAGCATTGTTGCCTAACTGTGCTGGACCAATTTAAGAAAAATAGGAAATTGCCATTTACTCGAAATAAATGATTATAAAGACACCAATTTCTCATGAGCACCACCAATTTGGTTTCATTCAGATAGTGTGTACTGCAGAGTATCTGCTAAGCCAGACAATTCTCCCAGCACACCATATAATAAAAATATGGGACAAAATATTTCCTATTGTACACTATTATGTGTCTACAGTGGTTTGGAAATACCAGTAAGAGCTAGTTAGTTTACAATACAAACACTAGGGACTGACATTTTACATTTTCTTCAAACTACACACAGAAGAGGCAATATAAGTTTTTGTAAAGATATATATATTCTCATTATATATGACTAGCAAAGAGTTCACTAGACACATCCAAAACCTTTGTGTAATCATCACACTTGGTGTGTATACTTACTGAACCAAGAGAAAGGTTTTAATATTAAAAGATTTTTATTCATTATGGGGTAAGGGTTGATCTACCATTTTTCTTTACATGGAAGTAATATTTAGAGTAGCAATCACCATTTGATATATGATTACAATTTCTCTTTCTTATTAATATCCATTATAGTAGGGAGAAAGGTCAATATTTCCCGTTCATACAATTCATTGGAAAATTTACCAAGTATAAATTAAACCTATTTTGTTTTTCTTTTGTGATACTAATTCCTATTAAAAAGTTAATTTAAATGACTGGCATCAATGAAAATGAACCATGATGATAAAAACTGAACAAGGAAAATAACAATATTGTAAAATATACATTATTAGTTATTCATTTCATTTCTTTCACATTGGGAATTAGAAATTATATGGGATTACTTATGACTAAGTATATCCAATGGTTTTTCATAACTTGATTCTGTCTGAGCCATACTAACTCACTATTACAATACTAAAGCATTGTTTATTGCTCGTATAACTATCTGTGATCTATGTCTTGGACTCTTATTCTGTGTAAAAAGCTATTTCAGCTACTATTCAACACTAGATAGCTACTAAAAGCATAAACATATGCCTAAATATTTGTAGAAAGATATTTTATTTCTAAGTTCTTTTCATATATACTACTTTTGGGTGATGAAATAGAAGATAAAATCAGAAAAAATGACTTTCTCTAATTTATGTGTATTCTCATGACTATCTTAAAAATAATATACAAATAGTTTAAAATATTGGAACCAATCATGACTATAATGTTATAACAAAATTCTTCCTTTACAGATCACAACTTAATATGAAGGCATTAATTAATACAATTAAATTTGCTACATGACTACAATCACTTTTGTAAAACTCTTACACAATGTCCATTGCATATCCTTTGCTTTAAGTAAAAGGATGAGAAAAATTAAATTAAATCTGTCTATGGCTCAACAAGAAACAACATTGATCTTTACTCATGTAAATATAAAAGAATAAAGAAATTTGAAAAATGTACAGAAAGATCTATATTTGCAATTATCTAAATCTATGACTGAATGCTCTTTCTCACTCAATGCTAAAATCTGCTGCAATCAATTTGTGATAGTTGTGAATGGTGTGACTAATTTCAAACTATTACATAAACCAAATTCTAACAGATTTCATATTAAAACATTCTTATAAAATAATAGGTGTATTGCTTATTAGTATCACTTAACCAAAATTCATAAAACTAAAATTTTAAAGTGTACAAATATCAACCTACACAAAACCAAGCAGTTTATAAAACAAAAGGCATCAAAGTAGATGTTCAGTACTTGAATGGTAATAAAATTGATTTCCCATTTTTATGTTCAACAAAATGTAGATGTTCACAACACAAGACCAAATAAATGTTCTACCTTTTTATTTGTACTAAAATAGTTTTCTTCTGTCATTCTTGTTTCGGAAATAAATCTTTGACACTAAAGCGTTTTTTCAGGATACGCTTTGAGTCTTCAGTTTGAAAGATACTCAGCAGAGATGGGCCTGAATGGTTGAGCTGCCAAAGAGCCACTTTCATAGCTTCACATAATTTAACCAGTTCCCTTTCATTAACATTTTTGCAAATGTTCAATTCAGTATCTAATGGATTTTCAATATATAAAGGAGAATAATCAGGCTTGGGAAAGCAGTTTCCATGTAGTGGAGAAAGAGCTGTTGACATGAAATCAAAATCTGAATAAAAATATAAAAATTCCTGCAGCAAATCACCTGAAAAATAAAAGAACAACCAATTTTCATAAAGTTAGTTTTCAAAAAGTTAATATTTTCATAAAATAATTTCAAAAATCAGTTTATAAAAAACAATGATTAAAAATTACTGTCAAAGAATCAGTTGACTTAGATGATAGCTTTTAGCAGTTGTTCTTAATATTCTGCATTCTTTTCACTGCTTCAACACCAGCTTCTTTAAATATTTTTTTCTGGTCAAGTTACATTTTTTGCTTGTAATAAGCTTTTTGTTTTTAATTTTTCTCAGGTCTCAAATGCAACATTCTTAAAGTTTTTCCTGTTCTTGCCAATATTTGTTTTTGATTGTTTTTTATTTTTATTAAAACCTTTCACAATTTTCCAACTTGCACTCCCATCCCTTAATAACAATATCATATTTCTCTTTTAAGGTTATGTTTTGCCTATGACCACTAACAATCCTTATAAACATGAAATAAGAATTTCATTAAAAATATCAATAACTATCCTATTATATATACTTATTTGTTCTGTTACCACAGTACAGAAACTGTATTGTTTCACTTCCACTTTGTCCATTTTTTAGTTTAGTTACCTTTTAGAGTGATCACCATTTTGACCACTTCTGGGTAGTCCTTCACTGGAACCCCTCACAATAAGGACATGAAACCAAGTACATAGCTGGTAGTTTCATCATCCTAATCTCACCCTCAATGTTATCATCACCATTTTATCCCTTTGGTTATTAACAAAGCTGCCAATAAACAGAACATTGTCTTCTTCAGAGTTTTAACTGCCTTAAGATGTTTATCTGAGATTATGCACACATATGACACAGATGCATATTCTTGGGGGAAGAACATTATTTTATATTTGTATACTTATTATTATATATATTCAAAAGAAATTTGTAAATAATCAGATTATTTTTAATAATTTCTTAATTCATTTCCACAGTATGTAATTATTGATAAAGGAATGTTTTCTCTAGTGTTAGAATTGGATTGTATGTACTGAGATTATACCATTCAATAGAAATAAACATACAGCTAACACTCATTGGTACCTAAACTATTGAATCAGTCTACTAATAGGCTTCCTGGTATCTATATGCATTGAATTGTTACTCAAGGTTTTCTATCATTGTTGAAATTGTTCTATGACCTTTACAATACCAGACAAATTTGACCAGCATGCTTGTTTGTATTAGATTTTATGTGAAGCTCAGTAAATCTGTTACAAAGACCCTTAAAATGCATCTTCATGCTTTTGCATAAACATTCTTTAGGTTGAACACATAGTTTTGGGTGACATGTATGTGTCAAGGCCAGCTGGTTGTTGGTTCAAGATAACAAAAACTGATCAGTAGTAATAATCCAGAAAGTGTGGAAAAAATTGTGAACTATCCATGAGGACTGCTTGTGAATAATCCTTCAGTTTTCTCACATAACTGGAATCACATAGCATCTACCAGGAGATCCTAGTCTAGAAACTTTTCAATACCACTTAAAGTTTAATGCTAGCTTTAATGGAGAAAAACAAACCAAGACACATTATCAGAAGACTCAAAATCTTAATAGGGTTTGTTTTATTTATATAATTAAAACTTATTTTGTTTATAATCTTCATTTATATGTATGCTGATGTTTTTTTAGAGTGAATAGTAAGTGAAGTGTCCAAAGCTAATGTGTTGACATTGTTTATTTTAAAGATAGGTCATTTATCTTTGTTAGATATGGAGTCATATATCATTGTACTCTGCAAAAAATATATTATGAAAACAAATAATAATGGAGCTTTGTTCTGTTACCAGTAGCAATATAAAAAAGAAATGTATATTTATCAGATCAGCAGCCAGTTAGTACATAGCAAATACATTTGCAGAGCATGTAGCATGTGTAGAGATGGAGCTTGGAGTTGAATAGCTGATATAGTTTTATTTTATGTATTTAATTTGAAATGCGCCATTAAAATGAGCATTCAGAAGAAAGTAACTTCTGACAAGATTCTATATCAAGTATTCCAAGAATGAGGACTTTGGTTAAACTTTCTAAAAAAAAAATTTTTTTTTAATATTAACCTGAAAACTTGAGTAATGTTCTTAAATAGCTATGTCAAATCTACATTCTCATGGCATCCAACTTTGTCTAAGCTATCATCTATATACAACTGTTTGCTCATAAAAATGGTTTCAAGCAAATGAATCCTGTTGGTTTTAAAGAAGACAATACTTCATCAGATCTCAATGACTGACACTTCAGAATCACTAAGAATTTTACCAAATAACAAAAAACACATCACTCAATGACTTCAGGAACAACAAGAACAAAAATGAGTAGCACATGTAATTTCTTCTATGTGCTGTATTCCTTCAAGTTGTGGGAAATCATTGCTCTCCAGAACTTTCTATCCTTTGTAGAACTTAGTAAAAACAAATTTTTTCACTATCTCCCCCAGTCCACCATCCATTTACACAAGCTTAGGTTACTTGCTACTTTCTCCTGTCCCTTGCCTTCAATATATCCTGTGAATGTCAAATTCTCCAAGCCTTCTTTCCTCATTATATGTCCTAGAAATTTCAACTGTCTTTCCGATTCTAAGTATAAGTGCTCCCTTTTGTTTCTATTTTCCTGAAAAATTCCTTGTTACTAACATGTTCTATCATTCTTCTGCAGAACCACATTTTTGTTTCCTCAAGTCTCTTTCTCATCTGTGAGGAGATTGTACAGCATTTAGTGCCATATAGGAAAACCAATATTACATAACAGTTTAGCACTCTTCTTTGTTTCCAATTAAATTTTCCAGTTTCTTAATATTTTGTTTAGCTTTTGGAAGGCATCTTTCACTATTCTGATGTGCCTGTAATTTTTGGTGTCCTCTGTTAAAACACTTCTTAAATGTTTAAATTTTCACACTTGCTTGATTTTGGTATCTTTTGCTAACAATCATACATTCTGTTTCCTTACAAGTGACATTTAGTTCTTTCTTCTCACTTTTGTTTACTACTTTATGTATGGCAAAGCCCAGGAGGAGAAAAAAACATATTGACTACATAATGATCAATATGAGATTCAGAAATGCAGAAAAATAACAGGACAAAAGACATGCTCATTGACAGGATGCATAAAATCAAAAGAGGGAATGCTGATAACAGAGAAGGAAAAATTCTTCAAAGATGGAATGAATAGATTGGAGAACTGTTCCACAACAAAAGAGAGACACCTGAAATAAGAAAAATATGAAAAGACCTGAAATATTCAATTATGAAGTGACATCAGCAATGACCAAGATGAACAAGGACAAAGCAGATGGAATCGTCATAGAAATGCTAGCAACCTCGGAGGATTTTGGTATTGACAAAATTATGGAAATAATAACTGAAATATACAACAGTGATGATACCAGAAGACATTAGTAGATCCATTTTCACAGTGAAAGAAAACAGGTGCAAATGAATCAGCCGAATGAATCACATAATATCTGAATTCTGATGAATAGACCATGTAGCAGAATCAGACCAGAAATAGCACAAGAACAATGTGGTTTCATTAAAGACACTAGAACAAGGAATGTGATATTTATGCTCAGAGCAATACAAAAGCAGAATGTTGTGTATACGTGTTTTATAGATTATGCAAAAAGCACTTGATAAGGTATGATACAAAGAACTGTATGAACTACTAGAAAAGCTAGAATTATTTGGGAAAGATAATACAATAATCCAAAACTTATACTGGGAGCAAACAATCTGCATATGGATATATACAACAAATGGAAAGACATATAAGACAATGATGTGTCTTCTCACTGGACTTACTCATACTTTACAGTGAGGTAATCCTGAGAAAACTAGAAGCCCTACCAGGATTTATTATTGACAGACAGTATCTTAACAGCATAAGATATATAGATGACAATGTTGATAACATATGTAAATAAATATATGAATGGTGCAGCCACTCGAAGCCGAGGATGCCAGTCTACTAGGTTGGCTAACTAATCCCCACTGCAGACACCTGTTCAGGCACATTTGTTATTGTTCAACACCCACAGAACCCACCTGTGGTTTATACTGCAATTATGCTGATCAGACCATAGTTACAGTTTCTGGGAGAGAGCATGTTATCTAACATGATCAACAGTCTGAACAAAGCCCGCATGCTCAAAGCCTCAGTCACGATGATTTGAGATTTTGTGCTAGCAAACATAAGGTTTGGAAGGAAAATCTCATCGATACTTTCTCATAACATTTAGTGGACTTGAGAAGTCTAATTTCCTGAAAACTATTTTAAGAAAAAGATTTTATAAATTCCAACTAACAGTAATACTAACTCTTTGGTAAATGAATATTGAATGTTTCCTGAATAGAAACTGCTAATTTCACCATTACCATATAACAATCTGTTAGATTATCTTAGCACATGCAATATCTATAACAAAGTTTCTAATTGTAATACATTCTGAATACTAGTTTTTTTTGTAAATTCAGTATATTTTTATGATTGATTTCATAATGTTATTGCTGATTCCTTGAGTATTTTCATATTTTTTATTCTTATTAATTTCAGAGTTAAGGGTAAAATAGTTTGTAATTTCATGAAAATATACTTGGAACAGATGTACAAACAATGGAAAAAAAACAGACTAAGAAGCATCCAAAGAATTTTGCAATCACTCAATTCATTTATAAAATGATTGTGACATGTTTTCCACATCTTACTGACCAAAACTTTATGGCTTTAATAAAAAGAGTAGATAAAAAATAAAAAAGAAAGAAAACTTACCAACATTGCAAGTTCCAACTTTGTTAAACAAAATCTGTTTCTGGGCCTTGGATCTGGAATCTGTACAAATTAAAAACAAAAAAAGAGTAGAAAATCGTTGATTATATTAATTCTAAATAATTTTTAAATATTTTAAAGGAAATATAGAACCATTAACATTCCAGAAGTCTTATTTTTTTGTAGTTGAATGTATTTGCTAAGTTTTAATCTTAATCTGGTGTAGATGTAGTGGTAAAGTTTTTTTTTTCTTGTAAAATCAAGAATAAAATTTTATTTTTAAATTTCAATCACATTTTAAAGTAAGGTGTCATTTTCCTGGTTAAAACTTTTGAAAATACCTAGTATTATATATAGTTCACTATTATTAATAAATTTCACCACCCACAAGAGGATCTTGGAACCTATCTACCACAGATAATCAGGTTTTATTGTGTGCATGTATGTATGTCTATAACATAAGTGTCTGTGTATTTAACAAGTTATTTGAAGTTCACAATTTCTTGCACTAGCAGATATATTTCCTTTTCTGTATTGATTGGTAGCTAATGCCAATACAAAATGTTTATACACTTCAATCCATAAGCAAAATATATCTTCCCCAAATCAAATCCAAAGATGCATGTAGGTATCGCCTTGATTTCCCTCAATGAGGTTTTCTTTCAATCATTTACTGCTCATTAAGTCTTTTTATAAATTTTACTAACATACTTAGTCACACATATTCTTAAATATTTCAATTATGTTCACATTTTCCTTTTATAAGATAGTGTCAATCTCTTTTTATAACATTTCTGCTTAAAAAGACAATTTATTTTATCATATTTCACAATAGCAATACAAATTCAGATGTCTGCTTGTTGGCTTAAAGTAAAACATAACTTACCTGTGAGAAGTAAATTTTTGAGAGGGGGCAGGATGGGTTGTGATCTCAGTTGTAAAAAGCAGATGACCAAAATGGAATACATGAAATTACTTAGCCATGGACCAGGATTTTTATGGCTCAAGAAATTTACTTTAGCCCAGTGGCGGACTGTAAAGATTAATGGTCTAACTTGAGGATCCATCACTCCTAGTAGGTAAATCAATTTGGACATGGTTAGACCAGAACTGCAATATGAAAGAAATTAATTTCACAAAAATTATTTTTTAAATATTTTTTTAAAAATGAAAAGGAAAGAATAATGAAATTTTTTTTCAAGATGTATCAAGTACAATGTTTAAAATCTTGTATTTCTCCTTATAAAATGTAAGACATCCTCAAAAGTTGCTGATTTTAAAATCCTGTGAATCACAGCATTTGTGTAAATTTTCCTGCCCATCAAATATTCAGAGTTACATGAAAGCGCTAACAACTGAAATTATTTAAAAACAAAAATATTTAAGTCATTGCTCATTGCGATAAAAAAAGATGAGGACATTAGTTTGACTGTAAATAATGATAACTCCTTATCCCAGACATAAAACTTGGCAAGTGGTATATGGGAAAATATTTAGGATTTGCTTTGTGGTGTAATGGATATCGGTTTGGAATGAGGGATAGCCGAGTTCAAATTCCAGTCAGGTACATTACATTCACTTATATGCATATACCCCCACCTATGGGTTGAATACCAACTAGTCTGCCACAGAAAATAATGGCAACCTACTGCAGGAAAAATTTGCCTAGTCAGTCATGTATCGAAAGAATGCATGATAACCCAAGCACTCACACAAGTCAAGTGTGACTTGTGTGAGTGACTGATACAGGTAAAACTATAAATTTACTTACTTGTTTTGTAGTGACAAATCACATTCAATCCCACAGGCTTCATGTTGAAATTTGATGATTGGAACACGAGCATTCAAAATGGGAATCACACCGACACAGGAAGGAATGAAATTTTCAATCATTTCTGCAAAAACATGCAAATTACGCTGAGAGAAACTGCGTTCATCTTCCTGTTTTCGTTTTGTTAGAAATTTTAAAGTTGACTTTTTTACCTAAAAAGAAAATTTTAAAAAATTGGTTTAAAATCTCTAAGTGATTGAAAAAAATGTAAATTTATTCTAATTTCTTCATCTTGTGATTATAATAATTGATTTTGTTCTTATGAGGTGGATGATTATAATTAGTCACACAATAAGAACAAAATCATGTGAAAATATAATAACTATTCAATAATCACTGCAAGAATTTATTTTCCTATTTCAATATAACTCTAAATAAGTGATTCTGACACTCTGCAATGATCATTCTTCCATTGCTTTAAAAAAAAAAAAAAAAAAAAAAAGAAAAAAGTATGCTCATTTTCAAGTCTTTTTTAGTTTGAAAATATTAATTACACTTGTAAAACAGATAACAGGAGAGACCACAAGGACTCCGGGTACTCTTTAATGACTGCACTTTCACTGTCATGCTACACTTACCGGTGATAAGCCTCACTGATTTTTGAGTGAATAACAAGTTGTAAATGCTACTATACTAGTATAGTATCTGTTCCCACTATGTTGGAACTAGCCACACCATGATCTGTTTTTTGCTGGCATTGTGTTTGCAGTGATAGAAAAATAAATAAATTTTAAAAGGAGACCACCTCTAAAAAGAGATGTATATTCTAAATTGCTAAGCTGTGAAGTCATATCTTGATCAACCAATTAGAAATCATATTAACTAGGATACAAACATTATAGTCTAGTGAGCCAATCAGAGATAAAACCTGTTCCCAACCAGATCATGGATCAATCAGAACCCAGGCAACAGTTTAAAAGCACATCTATTTTTCCTGTTAGATATATGACATGGACAGTTGAACTAAATAAGAATCAATGAATTAACTTTATCAATTCTCCAATGAGGTGTTCGTCATAACAGACCTAGAGCTGAAATACATCACTTATGCACAACCCACATAGTGCTGCTTAGACATATACATAGCTCCTATCACCTCCTACCTGTAATTTTAAGTCATCAAGATTTAATTAGATTTCCTAAAAAATAATTAGTTTAAAAATCTTTGTGTAAAATATCTTATGTTTGAAGGATGTGAAAGTTTACATTCAAAAACTTTAAGAGCTTGTAGTAGAAAAAAAACGTATGGAGCACCAGTTGTACCATGTCTTTTTGATCACAATCAGTGAGACTAATGCAAAACTTCACATACAAAGCATAACCACTCAACTTGTCAATGTCTGCAGCTAGTCTCACAAAATCTCTCAGCTCTAAGATCGAGTTGTTCTTAAATGGCAGCTTTTTGATCGGCCATATTTTCTGTCATGTATTTTGCATATGAGAGATGTACAAGCATGTTTTGTTCCAGGAGGTAAGCCATTTTCCCTTCTACAGAATTTGACATTAAACTTGGTATTATCTGTAATTTTAAGTCATCAACATTTAATTAGATTTCCTAAAAAATAATTAGTTTAAAAATCTTCATGTAAAACATCTTATGTTTGAAGGATATGAAAGTTTACTTGATATTTAAGGATATAGCTTATTTAACACTTCTTTAACAAATCATATCAGCATGAAGAGAGAATCTATATTTTAGGCAGTTTTTATTAGACTCCATACCTACTGCTGCCACTCTGTACTTGTAAAATCCATAATAGCCACTTACCTGGTATTTATCGGGACATAAACTGAGAATCATGTCAAGATCACAATCATTACGTCCAACGCCATTTATTGATGACCCAAATGGGTAGATATGACAATGAGGGAAGAGACCACCAAGCATGTCCTCCAGAGTGGAACAGATAAAAAAACGGAGACGCTGGCCAAGGTCAGTCAATTGCAGGTGTTGGTAAAGAAGTTGCATCTGGCTGGATAGCTACACATTATGAAATATGCAAGAGGAAATATCAAACAAAAACTGAAAAAAGTGTTTAAATTTCAGACATCATGTCATTTTCAAATCTTGAAGTCTCCATGTAAAAAATTTAGAGCAAATAATATCCTGCTATTCTTTTTAAAAAATTTTTTTACTCTAAAAGTTTTGTTTATCTTTAAGCGGTATGAAATTTGTCACAAATCAAGTATACATTCTATCTTTACAAAGCTTTTCTTTATTCAAAAGTAAAGCCACACAGTTTGAGTTGAATAAACTGCTTACAGTCAACACAATGTCATCTAAGTGTGATGCATTTTTTGTTATAGACATGGTAGCATTATATAAATCTGCACTGCAAATAACCCAAGCTAGTCGCAATGTTACTTGGAAAGAAGGTAAGTTCATTATTTATTTATTATTACATAAATTTGCATAAAGATTTTGAGCAATGATATTTAAAATAAAAATCTTACAGAGTCAGTTGCCAGGAAATCTGAGAGAAACAATGGTGGATGCTCAATAGAAAAAACTGGAGCTGCTTCAGGATTTCCTTTATATTTGATATTGCCATTGCGTGTAAGAAAAAGGAGTCTAGTTTCTGCAGGAACTTTTTGATCATTTTGGAAATGCCCGGCAGTTGACAAAAGTTCAGAAACACAATCTTCATTTTCAAATTCAATTAACATGTAATCCTAAAATTAACAAAATTAAAACAAAAATAACTATTCTTATTGAGACAAAAAGATTAGCATTTCAGAGAAGAAAATTTAAATAAAATTTATTGGCACAGATATATAAACAAAAGCAAATGCATTTCAACAAAGTTTTACCAATGAAAAAAGTAAAATTTTCAAAATAAATCTATTAAAAACATAGGCAGTGAAATAATTTTTTTCTTTTTTATTATTAAATAAGAGAAAAATTTAGTTTGAACTACTTCTGATTTTATTGTTACTACTGTCATATCAGTATATACTATTTTTTAATTTTTCTAAAATTGATGTATTTCTTTTTATTGATTACATGACATTATTACTAGTGTGGATTTTACAAGTGAAATCTACAATTGATAACCAGTTAAAATGGCAATAACTTAGCAGGTTTAATGTTAAAAACCTGGAAGACCAAACTAGTTAGATTGAGTTTTACAAGTAGACCAGAAATAGCTCAAGGTCATCTGGTATATACAAAATAAAATCTTTTGTTTTGAATGATTGTTCTCATCCTGATGTCCATGTCTAAAGATATATCTCTTGGTTAATTGTTCTTTTAGTGCTGCTCAGTCATTGCTAGCTCAGTTTTCACTCAGTTTGAGTATATCCTTTTTACCTGATTCAGGGACTGAAATCACAATTATGATGCCACCAAATTTATTAACTAAAATTTTAATCTTCTAAGCTATCGTCCCATGGAACAATCCTGAAGCAAGAACATAGAGCCTTAAACCTTATGCTGTAGCCTTATTGTCAAGCTCCACAGTCAGCCTAGCATAGATATAAACACTGGAAAGGGTCCACTAATTAAGACAGTAAAGATATCATGCAGGAGAAATACCAGCATCCAGATGGGATAACCCTAGACATTGAGAGAGGGATGAGAACAATTTGCCCCAATAAATTTTAAATTCCCTAAAGTTTACAAATCTCAACAGATACGTGAAGAAGAATAGAGGGTATAATGGTTGACGATAAAAAAGATGAGGACATTAGTTTGACTGTAAATAATGATAACTCCTTATCCCAGACATAAAACTTGGCAAAGTGTAACAAACATACCTGCAAAAGAAAAAAAAAATATTGTGTAAAAAGAACAGTTTTTCTCTTGACTCAAATATTACTTTTTTATCCCTATTTTTATTTTAAAAAGATATTTTTAATAAAATCTGAACATGAAACTGCATTCTTACATTTTTTTTTTTTTCTTATTAAAACAAGAAAAAAATGTATAAATCTGGTTTCATATGTTTGGGATTTATTAAAAATTCTAAAAATAGCTTTTTAAAATAAAAAATAAAAATATTACTAAGGGAGAAAACAGTAATAGCAATGTCAAAAGAAAAACTGTCCTTTTGACACACCACTTTTTTTGCAGGTGCGTTTGTTACACTTTGCCTAAATGATTATGTAAGGCACAGAAGTCATTTGGCTAGCAGGAGTCAGAAGACAATACTTGATGGCCTTGACTATCCTAATTGTTATAGAAAAAAAAGGCCCTTTAAGAGATTAATATGTTTATTGAACCCTTAACTTGAAGGGAAAATGTGTTGCATTTAAAAAGTAGGTTTGAACGTGAGGGGAAAATTGATATGGGTGTAAGTATATTATTAAAAGAGAGTTATTTAATGTAGTTAATTGGGTGAACATGAATTATCTGATGACATAATAAGCAATACTGATGGCAATAGTAAGAAAATATGCAAAGAATATCATTCAATTGTGGCAAATGTTGCATATCTCGAATACATCATTAAGGCCATCACAGGTTGCCTCAACAAAAGTTATTAACATTTATGACAAGCTATATTCCTTAGATCCACCTGTTCTGTCCATCATAGCCATGCCATGTAGAGTGAAACAAATCATTCCCTTCATATTCTGTTAAGAAATAAGTTTCATTCAGACAGCTTCTTCCCAAAAACCACTACTTTGTGGAACAAACAACTCCTGAGAGGATGTTTCCCTGATTACTACAATCTTAACTTCTTTAACTGTTATCTTTCCTACATGTCCTCATAAATCATACTTCTGACCTTTTCTTTGCTCAAAAACAACCTCATTCATTAATATGGATTGATTTTATACATAAATTAGATTTTCTTATTGATGTTTTTATAATATATATTGAAAATAATTATGAAACTAACTTTCATGTTTTTATAATCAAGCATACAAATGAATTAATGATAGGACTTAATTCTCAAATCAACTCCTTTACATAGTAACTTTACAAAGCTACACTCAACTATAAGTTATCAAAAGCATACTTGAAATTAAAACCAATTCACATTAGTAAGCATTGACATTAATTTTGCATAAATCACCACAAAACTTTTGATAATTATCAATTTCAAAATTAATACAACAGTAATTATGATTATTATTAAAAGGCAACTTACATAGGAGAGACCTTTTCAAAAACCAAATTTTCTATCATTAAAAATACCAATTTCTTAATTACAACAAAAGAATATTGTGGTGCAAATATAAAATTTTCCATTATTTTATTTAATATCTGACTTGATTTATAACTTTTAATAATTCACTTTTTAATGAATTAAATTTGAGGTCATTTCTGAATTCTATTTTTGCTGAGGATTTACAAAGTTTAATATTTCAAATATAAAAATATTTACTTTTTTGTTTCTGAAGTGCAAAGCAGTTTTAATCTTTCCAAATTGTTCACAATGTTTGTAGACAAAATCTCCATCTGCTTTATTGTTGATATCAATCAAAATACTTCGTTTGGCTTCATTTTTACGGTGAACACATAAATGTTGGAAACTCTCTTCTGCACGAGAATAAGAGAGAGACAATGGATTGGGTCTAATTGTTAGATCAGCTGTAACAAGAAAAGTAAAGAAAAAATATCAACAATTACCACAATTTGAAGAAATAAAACAAACTTATTTCCAAGTTTAATATTTTAATGAGTACAAAATATGTCTGTTGAAACAACAAAATAAGAAACTGCAAACTTAAAACAATACACAGTTAAACAATCCCAGTTAAGTTGTAAGCCTATTTGAATGCCTAAGGGTTACAGCAATTTAAAATCTTAACATGTAATTAAGGGTTGTAGAAATCTATTTAAAAAAAGATTAATTATTATTTTTTTTATTTTTAATCATTTCCCTCCAAAAAAGGCAACAATGAACATTAGAATGCAGGGGGTTACAGGGAGTGAAAGAGAATAAGAATAAGAAAATTGAAAATGGGAAGGATTTGAGGAAAGGGAAAAAAAAAGGAATAGGCATCAAGAAGACAGAAGACAGCAATTGATGTTGCATTTAAATTTTTAAAAGATTTTTACTTATCATTGAAGCAAGAAAACAGAAGGGACTTCCAAAGGAGGGAAGTGCGAGAAAAAAAATTGTTAGAGTAGAAATATTGGTTGAATCTAGCTAGTTCAACAGTGAAATGGTGAGACCTAGTTGCCTTCTAGTAGCACACTTAAAATCATGTAGTGAGGGCACCAAGAAAAAAGCTTGTCCAAGCACTTACCATGAAAATATTTGTAGAACAGGCAGAGGAAAGCCACATCACATCAATGAGAAAGTGACTGGAGATGACATGCCTGATCAGAATCGATTGTATTGTAGACCCTTCTCTGGATTTTTTCAGTAGGAGCACCAAACCAGATATGTCAACAGTATTCAATGCATAGACAAACGGTAGATTTTTAAATGTGCAAGATGGATTCTGACAAGAAAAATCTTGTGGCTTGACACAGTAAACCAACCTTACTTGCAATGGACATAGCAATTGACTCAATATTAGTTGCTCCACTTCAAGTGAGTAGAAAGCATGAGGCCAAGAAGGTGTAGAGTGTTGCTCTCCTGGAGTTCAGCATCAGCCATGCTAATGGTAGGCAGGAAATGTTCTCTATGGTGATTAAATGAAAGCAGTTTTGTTTTGGAGGTGTTAAAATTTACAAGCCATATCTTGCCCCAGTTAACAACAGATTGGAGGTCCTTTTCAAGAGTAATTGCCAGGTTTACTTTGTCCATTCTATTGGATTTGCTACTAAGGCAGGAGTTAATGGTTGTGTAAACTGCATAAATATGTAGTTGGGAAATGATGACATCAGATGAAAATCAGAAACAACATAGGTCCAAAGATAGAGCTCTGGGAACCCAAACATTACAATGAAATGATCTGGAAGCATGCCCATTCGATACAACCTTCATTATTCAACTGGTTAGGAATGACTGAATTAAACCAAATATACATCCCATGACACTGTAGCCCTTGAGCTTGTATAGAAGGCCAAAATGTCAAACTCTGTTGAATGCCTTCAAGATATCTAGAGTCACCACCAGAGTTTTGCCATTTTTATCTAAAGCCTGATAGATAACTTCAGAAATGGCCATTAACACATCAGTGGTAGACCTGGTGAAAGGGAAGCCATATTGTTTGTCTGAAAGGAGGTCATGCAAAGTAAGATGCTTAACCAGTTCAGTATTGATAAGTCCCTTGAATCAGTCAGCCAGTTAAGTGCCATGTGTGATACATGCTTAGGTGATCTTTCAATACATGACTGATGAGGCAGATATTTTTTCTCACAGTAGGTTGCCATTTCTTTCTGCAGTAGACCAGTTGCCATCCAAGACTATAGAACCCAGTCTGTCCTGCCTTTTACCCATAGCTGTGAGGGAAGAAGAGGATTCATACATTTCCCAAAGGTATTAACACATAAGTGAATGTAATGGATACAACTGGAATTTGAACTCAGCTGTCTGATTCCTGAATCCAAGCTGCTATCCATTACTTTACTGTGCCTCCATTCTGTGGGCCTTGAATACATTGCTGAAAAGCGGTAAAGTGAGAGACCAGAGGGTTCCCCAGAGTTCTTAAAAACAGAAACTATGGAGGAAAACTTCCAAGCTAGAAAGCAGGAAGCAACAAGGCATTTGTTTTCAAGTCTGGAGAGAACAGGAATACATTTCTTTTGGATGGCTACAGGGCTCCCATCACATCTGCTTGCCTTATGGGGGTCTAATTTTGAGATGATGCCAGAAACCAGTGATGGGATTAGTGTAGCTTCTGTTCTAGGTGAAAATCTAGCAGATGAGTTGAGAGTGGAGTTGGAGAACTTCCAGACAAAGCACACTGTAAGTAGATGTCAATACTTCAAATTGATTGAAAAGAGGAGGGACTGAGGATTTCTTATTGTTTGACACACTCTTGCAGAGCTGCCAGTAATCCCTAAAACCAAACTTGTGAGAGGCTATAAAGTGTCTCATTTTATCAGCAAATAGTGACTTTGCTTCTTTTAAGTACAGAGACTAATGGAGAAATTGTTATCTACCAAAGAGTTGTCTTTGAAGAAACACCTCTTCTCTAGTTCCTGGTTTTAAGAAGTCAAGGAAAATGTCTGATCATTTGAACTATTTTTCTTCTACTTCTTTACTACAGGCTCTAATCAATGAATTGGTTAAGCATCTCACAGATTCTTCTATCAGACAAACAATAGGATTTTCACTTCTAGGTCAACTGCTGAAAAAGTCTATCAAGCTTTAGATAAAGACAGTGAAGCTCAGGCTGTTGCTTTGGATATCTCTGTTATACTCCACTGCAATTAGATCTTTTCCTGATTCACTATGCATGTCAGCCAGATGTGAGCGCCAACGAGGCAGAACACAAAATGAAAAAGTGGTTTTCTGCACATGGGCAATAAGCATGACATCCAGTCCATGAAACAAATCTCTGCAATGAGAATAATACAATAGCTAATTACAAACATTTCCACCGGAAAAAGAGATGACTTGAAAGAAGGTCCCAGATAACAACCAACACAACTGTGGGCCAAAAGGCCACCTGCCGATACGTAGACGTACTGTCACTGTCATGAACGCTCTTCTTATCACAGCCATCACATTGCCCAAGCTCCACTAATCTCATTTGACTCTTCACATGTGGAATGCAGCTAACAATCACGCTTAGACACCAGCCACTGTGATTTATAACACCTTGACATTGTCACCACCCAACTCTAGGCCTCCCTCCTCATCACCACTGTGACCCCAACATGTCTCACCTTACCACAGCATTCTGAGTTGAAAGGCCACCTATCACCACCATGATTGCCATCTCTCTATGCCATAACTATCTACTCCAGGCCTCACTTGCCATCACCACCATGAGCCAATTTCATTGGTACCATATTTAACTCAACCCACTCCAGGCTTCCCTCGTTATCACCATCGTGTCTTCATCTCATTGATACCACATTAAATCAGAATCCAACAGAGACCTTCCGCTCGATCAACATTCACTAGCTACACCTAATCCCTTGTTGCCACCACCATAACCCCAGCAACCAACACGCCTTACCAAAAATCAACCCACCATGCTCTCAATCAATCAACATACTAACCCATTTTACCAGGCAGTTTGGTTTGAATATCTTGGCATCACATGACCACCAGCCCATCAACACTATAACAAATGTCAATTTCAACATTAAAGAAAGTTCACCAATGGCTAATCCACTCAGAGTCTATCCTTGGCACAACTGTGATCTCGGCCAAACCAACCCAAGAAATTGGTCAACTACCAACAAAACCCTTACACCTATTTGCTTTTCTGACAAACTGCAAGAGAAAAGAACATATTAATAATTTCTGATAATTTTCTAACGACTATGTATATATTATGTATATTTTACAAATACATGCTGTTGAAAGTTTAATCCTTATTATTCTTTACGTTTGCAACTAAACGTTTGTTATACCATCTTTAAGGCATTTGACAGGGTTTAGTATATTGGTCTTCTTCACAAGTTGAAAGGTTATGGTATTTCTGGATGAATTTTTGATCTGATTCAATCTCTTATCAAATCACAAAATAAAAGTTGTCTTGAATGGTAACTTTCTAGATCTTTTTACACTGATGCAGGTGTCCTCCAGAACTATCCTTTGACTTACTTTTATTCCTAATTTTCATGAACATTCTTGATGTCATAACTTCTCAACTTGATATCTATGCTGATGACACAAGTATTTATTCCTAACTTAATGGCAAGTCTGGTTCAATAAAATCAAATTGGCAGCTGATCTCAAAAATAACCTTCAATCTGTTGTTAACTGGGGCAAGAAATGGCTTGTTAATTTTAACATCTCCAAAATGAAACTGCTCTCTTTTAATCATACTAGAGAACCTATTTTGCCTTCTTTCAGCATTGCTGATGCTAACCTCCAGGAATGTAACTCATTGAGCCTTCTTGGTCTAACATTTTCCATAGATATGTAGTTGTCTAGAATGGTCACTTTCTAGATCCTTTTAAATTAATGTAGATGTCCCCAGGACTCTATCCTTTGATCTACTTTGTTCCTAATTTTCATCAACAACCTTCATTATATCATAAATTCTCAACTTTGTATCTATTCTGATGACATAACTATTTACGCCTGACAATGGTAAGTCTGATAAGTTCAATAAAGTCAAATTGGCAGCTGATCTTGAAAATTACCTTAAATCTGTTGTTAACTAAAGCAAGAAATAGCTTTACACCTCCAAAATTAAACTGTTCTCCTTTAATCATACAAGGGCTATTCAAAAAGTTATAAGCCTCACCCAAAAGGAGTTGGAGAAACAAGACAGTTTTTCACTATTTTTCAATATAGTCAACCCGTTGACATCAATGCAATTGGTCCAACGATATTGCAATCCTATATGGAGGGTAGCATTCTGGTCCTCCAAAACTGCCTCCACAACATAGTGATCTCATCACCATTCCCAAAATGGCAACCACACAGGTGAGATTTGAGTTTAGGAAATAAGAAGAAGTCAAATGGAGCTAAGTCTGGTGAGTTAGAGGGATGGGGTAACTACTCGAAT